CATTTCCCTTTTTTTTTAGGAAATGACCTGTATGTATCTGTGTGACATCAATAAAAGGATCAAGTGCTGCATTATCTTTAGTTACATTGATAATATTTATTTATGGTAAAACAGTGGTGGAATATCGCTGTTGCTTTCGTATACATGAAGCGGACATACCTGCGTAGCCGCGATCTAATCCTGTTTACATAAAGTAAACCTGCTCCCGAGCAGGTTTACGCTTACGGATCTGTTACTATGACAGCAAGTCCCGTACGAGCTTCGGAGAACCAAACGATCCAAGATCACGCGAAATCGTCAACAATCAAATCCAGCTAACTTACAAAGGCGAGGTATGAAGAACGGACCCCAGGGAGTAACCTAAACTGGTAAGAGCTAAACAAAAAAACAGACCTGAAACAGACGGAGGCACGGCTGGGAGTAATTGGACATAACGGGACAAGAGGAGTGAAACTAGAAACACTGACGAGAGACACAGACCTACAAAATAAAACAAGAACTCACACATGCAAAGACACAGACTAAGAAACCCGGACTTGACACAGGAATACACAGGCAGAAAAGCCTAAATACTAAACTGGGGAAGAACAGAACCAAAACCCAAAGAAAGAGAAAACCAGAACCAAAATACATCACAATAATAGAAAACACAAAACGCTGGGTCAAAAGACCCAGGGCCATGACATTCTTACAGAAAGTGAGCAATGACAGAGAACTCACGTTTTTATGCACTGCTGGGATTGAGAGCCCTCTCCTATTTACTAAACTGGCACTTTAACCAAACCAGCCATAAACATTGTCACAGCTGGTTGTGGCTAAGCAGTAGTCTAAAAAGGAAGGATTAAGCCTAGCTTAAGCTGCAACTGGGAAAACAGTCAAGGTTACACCTGAAGGACTCAACATTTGAATGTTTCAGATGATCAAAAAGGAAAGAAATATGACAAAGGTTACCTGGGTCAGTGGAAAATAGTCTGTAAATGGTTTCATTTGTTAAGGGTAAAAAGGTATGAAAAACAACCTGACCATGTATAGAAGCCGGCTGAAAGACCTCACACAGCAGCACATCATGCTATGATCAAAAGAAACAGCAGAGAAACAAAGTCACTGACATCAGTATGAAAAGGTTACAGAGTCATTTCTTAGGCTTTGGGACTCAAGCGAACTACGAGCCATTATCCACACTACAGGAAAAATGGAAGAGTACTCAAGCCTCCCAGGAGCAACTGGCTGACTAGAAATACTGCAAGAGTGCATCGATGACTAATCCAGGAGGTCACTGAAGAACCCAGATCATCATCTAAAGACCTGCAGGCCTTACTTAGCTTCGATAAGGTCAGAGGTCATGATTCAGCAATAAGAGATTCAATGGGGGGAGAGATTCAACAACAGAAAGGCTCATCTCACATCTGGTAAATGAGACGGAAGCTGTAGTTTTTCGAGAGATTTGAGTCCCGTTACACGTGGCATTAAAAGAAGATCACAGAAACAGCCTGACACAGTGGTGGTGGTGTGACGTCTTCCCAAGAACACGTCATACCAAAAAACTGATTCCAGGAAGGATTCTTGTATATGTGGAACCCTCTAACCGAGTAACTGAGCTGAGTCGACACAAGAGGAAAAGAAGCACAACTGCATGATACACAGAAGTGCTGGATCACTAATCAGCTGCTAGAGACCACTGAACCATCCGAGTTTTACTTCTTTACAGATGAGCATCCAGACCAGGACAGAGAGGAAATCTGACATAACTGAGTCAATGAAACCACAAAAAGATCAAGCTGTTTAAGGTGGTAATACACCAAAGTACAACCCAGACCCAGATCAGCTTGAGTTTTTATCTTTTTCTTGGATATAAAGTCACATCAGTGGTCGTTTCACATCCTGTTGATGGCTTTAGTTCATATTGAAGGTTTTCAAAATCAATGGGTGTGAAATGTTTTGATTTGTCACACTGGTCACAGCTGTAGTTTCCCCTCCATGTATGTACGTTCATGTTTGTTACGACTTCCTGACAGCGAGACACTTTTCTCCCAGTTTCTGCATTTGTATGGTTTCTCTCCTGTGTGGACTCTTCCATGCACTTTAAGATGATCCGCAGTGGTGAATGAGAGATGGTTTTTGACCCCATGTGACAGAGTTAATTTTGGTTTAATTCACTTGGTTTAGGGAAGCCTCTCCCACATTCTTTGCAGTAGTTCGTTTTGTCTCCAGTGTGTCTGAGTTGATGTTGTTTAGGTTCTCTTGATGATTGAAAGCTTTTTCACAAAAGCCACAGAGAAACTCTTTCCCACTACCACAGTGACGATAGGGTTGAGAACTGGATCCATCTGTGTCGCTCTACTTCTAAACAAAGACACAAAGACAGTGGAAGTCAGGGAATTCTTTCAACATTTTTATTTTTAATGGCGCCTGAAATAAGGAGTATCTGTGCCAGTGTCCAATTATATCTTACTGTTTACATTATAACACTCAGCTTACTGGGCAACATTAAGTCTTCATTTGTAGGTAATCTACTTAATGGGAAGACTGGTGATTAAACCCCTGGATGCTCTACTCTGCATCCCACAAGATACTGACTCCAACCTGCTCTCCGATGCATCCATTGGAGTGTGAATGTTAGATAGAGAGAAAGGGGAGGAGCTTTTAAAACTTTTAAGCTTTGAAATTTAACTTCATTCATATAAAATTGTAAAACTGTTAAAAGAAAAATACATACCTCACAGTAACTGCACTTTTAGAGTTTCTTTCTGCTGTGAATCTTTTGGTGTGATTTGAGGTAATGTGGAGATTTAAAAGTCTTCTCACACAGGTCACATTTATAAGGTCTCTCCTCAGTGTGGGTAAACGTGTGCTGCTGTAAGTTTTTGTATGTCACAAAAGCTTTACCACACTGATCACAGCAGTAAACATCATTTTTGGTGTGAATGCGTAGGTGAATGTTTCGGCTGACTAGCCAGCGGAAAGTTTTTCCACAAATGTGACAGCTGTACGCTTTAACTCCACTGTGCATGAGTTGGTGTGTTTTTAAGCTTGCAGGGTGGGTAAAAGACTTTCCACACAAGTCACAGCTGTACGCTTTAACTCCACTGTGGACGAGTTGGTGCGTTTTTAAACTTCCAGACTGGTTAAAAGACTTTCCACACAACTCACAGCTGTACGCTTTAACTCCACTGTGGACGAGTTGGTGAGTTTTTAAGTTTCCAGGACGGTTAAAAGACTTTCCACACAACTCACAGCTGTATGGTTTAACTCCACTGTGGACGAGTTGGTGTCTTTTTAAGTTTCCAGCCTGGGTAAAAGACTTTCCACACAACTCACAGCTGTACGTTTTAACTCCACTGTGCATGAGTTGGTGTTTTTTTAAATTTCCAGACTGGGTAAAAGACTTTCCACACAAGTCACAGCTGTACGCTTTAACTCCGCTGTGTATGAGTTGGTGAGTTTTTAAGTTTCCAGGACGGTTAAAAGACTTTCCACACAAATCACAGTTGTATGGTTTAACTTCACTGTGCATGATTTGGTGTCTTTTAAAGCTTCCAGCATGGGTAAAAGACTTTCCACACAAGTCACAGCTGTGCGCTTTAACTCCACTGTGCATGAGTTGGTGTTTTTTTAAATTTCCAGACTGGGTAAAATCCTTCCCACACTCATCACAACTGTATGTTTTCTCTTCCTTTCTTCCGTGAGGTTTGTCGGCCTCCTGAGAGCGCTGACTTCTCGCTCCATGTTGGTCCTGCAGTGACAGAAATACAAACAGAGGCAGTGAGTGAAATGCAGTCGTGGAACAAACTCAACCTTCAAATTTCCTCTATTAACAGTAGTTTTAAACCAAAGGCTGAAGTAGTTCCTTTTCAGTCAATACACTCGGTACAACACACGTGGTATGGGATATCATGCCCTCACGTGTCCTGGCTGAGGAAACCTTTATTCACGCCTTTAAGGCAGATTATCTGTGATGACGTGTGCACAGCCCCAATGTGCCGCCACTGCTTCGGCAGTCAGCCCCTGATTCACTGTGTAGCTAAGAAGCTGCAGGTGGACTAGCCCTCTCCTCTGCCAGCTCAGAAGCTGTCGCAGTTCACAGGCTTTTTCCTCCAACTGGACCCCGCAATATCTAAAAACTGCCTTCCTATGTTCCCAAACGTTGTCTGAGAGGTAAGTGCATCATGTGGCAAACCTCTGTCTACCTGCATCACTGTACCCAGCTATGAACAGTACATGACGTTGGACAGCACCGACAAAACTGGCTTAGCTAACCCACTCCTTATGGAGCTGTCTCTGGTCGCTTACCTGGCCCCATCCAATCCAATCCAATTTTATTTATAAAGCACTTTAAAATACCCAGCACAGGAACAAAGTGCTGTACAGAAAATAAGTTAAAACAATAGAATAACAGAAAGCAGCGAAATAAATAAATAAAATATAAAATTAAAACAGCCCTATATTAAAACAAAAACAAGATAAAACAGCATCGAATCACCTAAAAACAACTAAAATAAAAATAAAAACCAACATCTCACGTGGTGTCAAAGGCCAGGGTAAAGAGGTGGGTTTTCAAGAGTGACTTAAAAACAGATAAAGAACTGGCCTGTCTAATCTCTAAAGGAAGCTCGTTCCACAGTTTGGGAGCTGCTACAGCAAAAGCACGATCTCCTCTAAGTTTACGCCCAGTCCTGGGTATCTTCAGGAGCAGCTGATCAGCTGACCTGAGAGAGCGGGTGGGTGTATAAGGCTGTAGCAGCTCAGAGAGATAAGATGGGGCGAGGCCATGGAGAGCTTTAAAAGTAAATAAAAGAATTTTAAAATGAATCCTAAAAGAAATGGGCAGCCAGTGACGTGAAGCTAAAACAGGGGAAATGTGTTCAAACTTTCGAGTGCCAGTTAAAAGACGAGTTGCGGCATTTTGCACCCTCTGTAGATGACTAATATATGATGCGCTTACCCCAATATAAAGTGCATTACAGTAATCCAGCCGAGTGCTAACAAAGGCGTGGATCACTGTCTCAAAGTGCTGCCGTTCACAGTCCACTTTGACCCCCAGGTTTGTGGCAGTTGGCTTAACATACTGTGCCAGGGAATCTACATACACATTGGGGGTCTCAGTGGGGCTGCCAAAAACCATCACCTCGGTCTTTTTATCATTGAATTTTAAAAAGATAACAGACATCCAAGCCCTAATGTCATCGAGACACTGAAGTAATGGCTGTGTGAGGTATCTGCCTTTTTTCTTTAGAGGGACATAGATCTGACAGTCATCAGCATAAAAGTGGAAAGCAATGCTGTGCTTTCTCAGTACAGAACCAAGAGGAAGCAGATATAAAGAGAAGATGAGGGGGCCTAGAACTGAGCCCTGTGGGACACCACACAAGAGCGGAGCGGAGGACGACACATAGTCACAGAGGCTGACACAAAAAAGTTCGCCCCGCCAAGTAGGACCTGAACCACTCCAGTGCTGTGCCCCTAATGCCCACCCAGTGCTCCAAACGAGAGAATAAAATAGCATAATCCACGGTATCAAACGCAGCTGTCAAATCTAAAAGCACAAGAACAACACAGTCCCCAGCATCAGTCGCTAAAAATATGTCATTAAAAACTTTTAAAAGGGCTGATTCAGTGCCATGAAAGGCTTTAAAACCAGATTGGAAAACCTCTAACACATTTTGCTTTTCCAGGAAGGCCATTATTTGGCTGTAAACTACCTTTTCAAGAATTTTGGAAAGAAAAGGTAGTTTGGAGATAGACCTGTAATTTGCAAGAACCGTAGGATCCAGAGCAGGTTTTTTTAATCAGGGGTTTGACTACTGCATGTTTAAAATCTTTAGGGACGACACCTGACGACAGTCAGACTATGGTATATCAGCTCAAGAACCAAAGGACCAACTGTAGGTAACACCTCTTTTAAAAGTTGAGGAGGGACAGCATCATTTGGAGACCCTACAGACTTAAAACGACCAACAGTCTCCTTTAAAAAGGAAAGAGTCACATGCTCAAACCTGTCAAAGACAGCAGAGCAGGAAACAGAGACTGAGAGGTCACGAGCACAAGGAGAGATTTGATGAAAAGTGTTCAGCAGTGGATGAGTTAAAAACACGACAGTGCTGAACAGCAGCGTGAAGTTTAACTGAGGCACAGGCAAGAGGAACTTCAAACATCACAGGACTGTGGTCAGAAAAAACAGCATCACAAATCTATGTTAAAAACAGAAAAGCCATGAGATAAAACAAGATCAAGTGTGTGTCCACGTTCACGTGTGGGACCTGTCACGCATTGCACCAGATTAAACGAATCAATAAGGTTTAAAAAGCCCTTCGCCATGGGCATATCAGGACAACAGTCGTGAATCATAAAATCCCCAACAATAAGAACACGATCATATTTTGGCAGGAATTCAGCCAAGAAGTCAGCAAAGTCCTTATCGTATTTTGGAGGCCGATAAACCACCGCACACAACACTGTGTGAGAGCAGCCCAACTCAAACAGACAGTTCAAAGCTGGTGAACGACGGGGTTGATAGCTTCTTACATTTAAAATGACTTTTAAAGATCGTAGCTATTCCTCCTCCTCGGCCCAACATACGTGGGGAATTAGAATAACAGCAATTGGCAGGTAGAAGATCTGAGAAGAGGCTGCACTCCCCAGCGCTCATCCACGTCTTGCACACACAGAGAAAATCCAGTCCTCGGGATGTGAAAAAATCCTTCAGGATAAACGATTTGTTCGCTAGGGACCTAGCATTTACCAGGCCAATTCTGGCAGTAAGCGGCGGATCCCCGTCGCTAGCCGTCCTAGAAGCCCGACACAGAGGCCGCAGGTTCCGCAGATTCACACCACGCCGGCGGGACTGAAACATCCCATCCAGGCAGATGACAGGTACCAGCCAGGTACAGACAGGTTCCAACGATTGCCGAGAGAAACAGAAGTTTGGCACCGCTCCTTTTTTTCTGGATAAGGGCTTAAGAGAATACCTTAAAGAAGCTTTCAGCTTCACCAGGAAGCCAGCCCTTCGACCCCGGCGTCAGCACTTTTGCCGGAGTGGTGGATCTGGAACACGGCACAGGTGAGCCGGGATCTCCGATATTAGCGGGGGCAAAGTTTTATGTCCAGCTTGGGTCCACTTTGCCCAGCCTTTGGCAGAAGGTCGGAGATCCAGTAGGGTTAGGCGATCATACACCAAGAGAGAGTTGGCATTTATTACAATAGTCAATAAAATCAAAACAAACAAACATAACACTGGCAGTGATAGACAGCAAGCCACATGCACCGGCGCCATCTTTTTTAAGGTTAAAAAGGTTAAGTCGGTGCGGCACCACCGACTTAACCATGGAGTCGGCATCACATCATTCAAGCTTTTCGGCATCACACCATCCATGCTTTTCTTCAAAGATGGCCTGGAGATCGAAAAATGGAATTACATCTGCTGTTCACCTGACTGCTGCTTCCAAAATGGCCTACAAAGCAGACTGGAGGAGCACTACCTTGCATCATGCCTGAACAGAAACATTGTCCAATTTCTTAAATATTCACATTACGGCCCACAGAACCGCTCCCAAACCTGGGGGGTGAATCAAACATGATTAGTCACCAAATACAGTTTTTAACCTTTTCTTTTTTGGCTTTTGCAGTGTTTGATTTTTGTCCCAGGATTGGCCCAGTTTTTGTGATTGAAACAAAAAGGCTTGGACAGCGAGCAAAGCTCTGACTGGCTGAAAGAAGACGTTTGTTTTCCTTCTGACTGCATACTGTTTTAGCAACAATCCATACAGGTTGGCATCACCAGACCCCTTTGAGTTTGGGTTTGTGGTTGCATTAAATAAGATTCCATCTACAAAAAAAGACTTACGGTTTAATTTGAAAATGAATAAAAACGAGTACCAAAAAATACAAAAACCTCTCGTCTGGATTATTTT